ATCATTCAATGTACTTTCCCGAAAACCTTGAGTCTGTGATATCGATCGGTCCAGATCAGATACCTCTTCCGGCATTCTGCCTTATAGGGAATCCGGAACTAGTTCATCCCTCCACGTCTTCCAGCAGATGTCGAGGAGACTCAGCCTTCTGCATGTACAAAAAGTAGCATTTAATTGAATAATCGTGTTCAAAAGAAAGGACAGTTGCTATGAATCTACTGAATACTGAACTAAGGCGTCCACAGAGCCATTGGTCAACGCTTTGGCATGTCCTGGCTCACTGGTGAGAGCACTTGCTCCTCCAGGTGAACATATAACAACAAATAGAACAAACAGGAAACACTTGGGTGATTCCTTCTGGGAGTAAACCATCTCACCTTCCACTACAAACATCCTAATCTTCGCATCTTCTACCACGTACATCACAGCATCTCAGGTGAGCGGGTCAAGAAAGTGACTAGACTCAAGCACAGCACGTTACGCCTTGGTCTCGGCACCATCTGAGGTCCCAGTTCGAAGGCCCTCATGTTGAGACTTCTTGTATTTTGTCTCTTCTGCAGCAACACAAATTGTCGGCACCAGCCATCCAGTTTCCATTTCTCAGTCCTCCCGTCCAACCTTTCTCTTACATCAAAACATATCCATTCTACGCATATCATCCTTGAGCTTCAAGCATTACGATTGTTTGAATCCCGTTTGGGCCAGCCTCTCACTCTTTTCATAGCTCTCCCCAGGGCACGGAGCATTGTTGAGCGCTGTCTCTATCATCCCAAGCCGAACACCAACATCCTCGCGACGTGCATTCCACAGTTTCTAGTCGGCAACTCTCACAACAAGCCAGCCATGATGAGTCAGATACTGTCTCGTACTCATCAGAGTAAGCCGGGCTTAGCCAGAGTTGCCACCGGAGACGGCATAAACATGGACGTGCAGCATGAACTGCACAGTCTCGATGACATTGCTTCCTCTCGACCGGTTGCACTGAGTGAGCTCTGGAATAGAGCAAGCTTGCGTGGCAAGGTCACAAAGCCATTGAAGCCCCTGCAGATTGGTGGTAAACAAATTCACGATGTCAAGGAGATCTCAACTGACACTGAATCCATTGTCGTCGCACAATGCAAGCCTCGTGCTCGCCTTGCTCCGATGCACCGCTCTTATATCGAGGCGGGTCACCACAATGGCCAACAAACAGAAATATTGCAACGCTCCCGTGTTCGTTCGGAAGCATACTATCCAACATACGCACATGAGGCGAGAGAGTACCTCTGGCATGAAAAGGCTGATGGTCATGTTCAGCAGAACCCGCTAAGCTATTGCGACGGCTACGATCCTTCCTATCTTCAGTGTCTCCGCCACGATTATCGCAGCGTACCAGATGGGCTTTTCTACAAACATCAGAACTTCCTGCAATCCGAGCATGCTATCTGGCCTGCAGGACCGTGCGCGGCCCCCAACAACACTCGGGTTCCCTCCCATGACCAATGCCCCGTCGCTGATCACCAGTACATACCGGAGTCGTACATTGAGCCCCCGAATGGCGGCATTGGAAATGGATATGATCAGTCAGGATATGGGCCGCTGGAGGCTCCAGACTACCATTATAGCCAGAGAGACACTCATAGGGCGGCCCTCCCAACTGAGACTGCGTATTCCGAACAAGCCCGGGTCAATTATACCAGCCACCACTCCGTTCAAGCCGATGCAGAACTTTTAGAGGTCGTTCGTCAAAAGCTTCTCCGAAAGATGTCTAGTCCAACTCGGGCAGAGGCTTCAGGCGCTGCTGAAGTTCAGGCTCCCAACCCTATTCGAGTTTCCTTACCCTCTCATGACAGGAAGCCAAGCTCTGCTGAGAGCGATTTGTCCAAAGCTAGCAGTAAACGATCGATCAAAGAAGAGGCAACTGCCTTCCTTCAGAGCGTCGTTGAGAACTCTCACTTGGATGCCAAAGGAACCAGTTCCCAGCATCTGACGGCGCAGTCCGAGGAGTCTGCTAGTATTCGGCTCCAACAAGAAAGCCACGAAGCAGAACATGTGAAATCACAGTCTGTTGGCATGTGTGACCGTCATGGAAGCCTGAAGGACGCGCGTCTAGTCGGCCAACGGGTCAAACTTGGAGTCAAAGGCACCAATTCGCTCTTGAACGCAGGCGCTAATCAACATCTTCCTCGCAACACGAATCATCTCGTGCATAGGGGAGATATAGCAAAGGACAACCAAGAGGACCCTTACGATAAGCTTCTTATAGCTAACAGCAAGGCTGTCCCACCTCCACCGGGGCTTCCTATACCATTGGAACAACAGAAGAATACTGATTTCTTGTTCTTCGATACCTTGGCACCAAATAGAGCTAGGCTCGAGGAAGCGGATTCCTGGTTTCATACCGATAACCGGGGTGCCAGTGAGCTCCGACAGCTGGTCTCATCCATCGCTTATGATAACGTTGAGAGAGAAGCATTGCTTCACGGTACTTCTAGCCCTACTTCAGGGACTGCAACTGCATGGCAGACGACTCTGCTTCTGGGGAATGTTATTGCCAATCTTCAATTGCATACATCCAGTGGTCCTACCAAACACGCAGACTACTTTTCAGATTACGGAGTGGTCGACTCAGCCTGTTGCGAGCCCAGCCACGGCGGACGTTGCAGTTATTTCTTTCAGGACCCTGCAGTTACCCATTGGAAACTTCCAACCGACCGAGCCACCCCAGAAATGAGAATCGAGTCAGAAGATGAACTCGCCGGGCCTCAAGTCTACGGTCAACATTCTGGTACTTGGTAGTAGCCTTGAACAGTTTTGTGGTAACCCTTGCCTTTAACTGACCCTGTGAATTGGTAAATCACGCAACAGGCTCAAAAGCATGGATAGCATGGACAGCATGATAGAGGATGGGGTTCTATATGGTGATGGAAAAGGAGAGGAAGAGGACGGAGCTTTTACGAGGCAGATGGTTCAGTGGATAGCTTTGGGGTTCTGCAGTGTAGTCAGGAGATCTAGGTTACCTTGCAACTTTTCATAGCTCTACACAACCTGAGAACTACGACTTTCTTCTACAGTTGGTAAAACTTGGTGCCGGTCCATTATAGGAGTCTAGGGCTGATCCATGGGAAAGCATTCAAATAATCTTGGATCAACGCATTTATCCTTTATGCAGTCGTGTTCTCTTGTCTCCTCTGTCTGGAACCTCCCAAGATCGAGTCACAATAGCCATGAAAAGTATAGTTTCAGTGGCCTGCTCCGTTCAGTTGATGACCGGTCGTTTCTTTCCCCATCTTGTTTCTCTGAGCGGGAAACCCTTTTGCTTTTATACTACTATCTAGGAAAGTCTATCCTTGGTCTTCAAATTTCATCGAAAAGCTTCAAGCTGATCTTTGTGTGCACAATCAGATAACCTAAGTATCATACATTTCGCAGCTCCCCCATCATATTTATCTGCTTCTGCTGAAACTGTGTCCAACATTTTGTTCACTGCTTAGTAGATTTGCTTGCTTTCCATCTGAGTCTCGAGACCTACAGCGCTGTGGAGACACTCAACCGCCTTTGACGCGGCACCGCTAGGAACAGATCGATATGCCTAGGGGTCTCTCGAGAGACTATGAAATTATTGGAGGAACTCGGAACATCCGAACATTTGTGGATCTATTAGCTTCCTGACGTGCTGGAGACGCCCCGTCAGCCTGGTAACAATATTACTCGGGACATATTGTCCTGCGTCCCTATCTGCAGCTGTGCAGTCAATTCTCGCGGGAAATTTGTGCAGTATTTTCATGAAATGCTTTGAGCGGCCCCAGTCTCCACGCTCTATCGATGTCAGATTTGGCAACATTGGTTTGAGAGGGTGCATTGGCAGTCCGCGATACTACATCGAGAACCTTGTAGAGTGTCTTCAGCTTGCGCAGCCGGTCACGCTGGAGAGACTCGAGATCCGCCACGAAGGCATGGATGCAAGCATTCTTCTCTCATATCCATGCAAGCATTCTTATCTCATCATCTGGTCAATCGCTAATGCTAAGAGGCCTAATGGGCCTCCAATATCCTTCCTCTATTTCCCATCTTTGTTATTCTTGGTATATGGCTACCATGATATTCCGTAATCTGAGCTCCTTCCCACAGAGCAAGTAGTGTTGGACTCTTAGTGTACTAGCATGCAATATGCCTAGTCTTCAATATGCCTACTATACTAGCATTCGATGTTCTCACAAGTATAGACCGTCAAACTCTGAATTTGTCAAGATAACTAATGCCTCATGCAGTACTGGTAAACCTTCTCTGAAGCTTGTGACGTTAGCAACCGCTGTTCAGGGACTACTTCTAATAGACTAAAGCTAAATTTGCTCTTAGACTAATCTACATCTGCTCCTGTGGCGGTTAAAGCAGTGCGTCATAAAGGCATGAAGAATTTTGACGTCGAGTTGTACATTCAGTCTGCCATACGTAGACCTGCTTCGCCAAACCTAGAGAGCCTGAGGCATCTCAAAGACAACGTTTCTACGATACAGACTACCAAGTCCTATGTTGGTCATCTATGCAGTTTTTAGATCAAGAGAGTATTAAGGAAAGCGCAGTCTCATTGTTGAATCGACAATCTACTACTCGAATAACCGAAACAACACAGATTCATTGTCCACGTCCATTTCTTTCGAGGGTGCGTAGTCTCTCCTCAGCAAGTTGTGCTTCGAAGATCTCGCGCTCCTCCTGGGCACGTAAACGCTCTTCGCGTGTAGTCATCGACCGTAGGCGCATCTCGTTGTATTGACGTCTGAGGGCTTGGACATCGTTCCCCTCAACGTAATACGCTGCTCTCATTGCAACATCACGCCCAGGGCTACGATGATCCCTGTATCCACGCTCGAAGGACAAATCTGGGTGCTCAGGGGAGTGTGATATTTCCCGTTCCTGATACAGTTGGAGGGCGGACTCATCATATTCGCGAGGTTCCGATGGGGCCCTTTGGTCCCGGAAATCCTCGGTTATCTCCACGTCTTCGTGGCCGGCCTCTTCCTCGTCTTGTCGCGGCGCTGCAGACAACCCAGGCAGTGGCGGTCGTGGCGGCAGTGACTGAGACGCTTGGCTGTACGAAGCGCACTGGGTAACGCGACCCGCGCTCTGGGTGCCGAAAAGGTTAGCGACTGTACCTGTACCCCGCCGCGGCTGCAACAGCCGGATTCACTGCGCTCGTGGACGTACGCCGGATATCTCGATCATGCGAAAAGTAGACCGTCTGGGGGGGAAGGATCGAGTTCTTCCACAGTAGATGCGCCGTGCCAGGTCAGGGTATGACACTTCTGAGTGACGTCCCTGAGCAGATCCAAGAGGAACTTGTTCCGATTGCCGGCGGTACGATGGATCAGCCTGATCTGGTGGGAGTCCCAGACCTTCAAGTTCCCAATAACGATCAGAACTTTTTGCGCCCGGCTGAGAGCAACATTCAGTCGGCTTCTGTCACCGACAAAGCCAACGCTCCTGGCATCCTTGGATGGTTTTGTCATCAGGAAGACCACAACGGGAGACTCGGATCCTTGGGCTGCATCGACAGTCAAATTCTCATTGAAGCCAATGTTGTTTTTTCCAAGGATGTCGTCCACCAGCGCCCTCTGGTCCCTGTAGGGACTGATTATCATGACGTCCCTGGGCTCGATCCTTTCTCCTTGAGCCGTCTCGAACTGGTACAGCTGAGACAAGAGCTGGCGCAGAGCGTGCACCTGTGCCTCATTGTGCGAGGACAGGCTGTTCGCGTGGCGATCAGCGTACCCGATAGTACTTATAAAGATATAAAGAGGCGGCGAAGACCTACGACACCGAATTTTCGAAAGTAAAGCCGAGACTCGGTGAAGGCGTCCCACGCGTTGCCCACACGGTCGGCAGCGTCGTTGAAGGGTCCAACTCGAGAGCGGACTCAAGGGCATTGATCTCGGTGTCCACGATCTTGGTGAACCGAACTAAATCATCGCGGACGTGTCGAAGTTGATCCAGAGTTTTCAAAATCAGAAATAGAGACCGGCCAGGGCAAGACGGTGCCATCTAACGGATTACGACGGCGGCGTTTTACCGAGGGGGACCGCGAAGCGGAAACAAGACGTCGTTTGGGCCCTTTGGCCTTATCAACATCGAAGGAAGGAGGGGGATGAGAGGCACGCGAATCCGAAACGAAGGGATCATTAGAGAGGGACGATGGCTTGTCCAGGCGAACACTCGACGAAGGAGTCCCCTACTTCGACGCAAACGTAGGAGGGTTGAGGATTTTCCCAGACCGGGTACTCCGAATCGACGAATCATCAGAAATGACGACTTCAGGAACCTTCTGCTTGACGGGGGTACCTTTTGCGGAACGAGGGGCCTTCGAAGTTGACGTTGGGCACGGATCAGAACTGACCAAGTGACCACTCTCTTCACTATTCACTAATAATCCCTGGGATACGACCCCAGTGACCGGGAAAATCTGTGGTTACTCCTCTTGGTCACAGTGATGCTCAACCGGTCGAGTCACTGTTTTATATGTACCGCGTGACCACCAAAAAATTGAGCAAAATATGAGAGCAAGAATGATCGGACTCCTCGAGAGGCCAGACTTTGACCACCAAGCTATCGTCATCGAGTGGACTGGACTCGCAAGTCGCCATTATACACTCGCCTGTTCCACAAATCGAGAATTTGGCTATGATTCCGACAGTTCGTGGTAAGCATCGTGCATGGATAACCCGCTTTCTGAAGCCGAGTCATGAGCGCCCGTTTGAGATATGTGGCCCCCTCGTTGCAGTCATTCTCTGAAATGACTGTTGGCGGCAGCTGATCGGGATCTCCGATGAGAACCACCGCTTTGACCGTCGGCATCGTCAAAGCGATACAGTGGTCACCCTCCAGGCACTGCCCAGCCTCGTCGCTGATCACGAAATCGGGTTCGAAGCTCGAATCGCGAAGCAGTTCGTGGGAAGCATTGCTCAAAGTAGTAGCCACGACTTTGCAATTCCTGAGGACGGCCAATACGCAACCCTCATAGGCGTTGCGCAGCTCCTTCGACTGTTCTCTGCCCAGGCGGCACTCTTTATCCCTCTTGACCATATCAAGGAACTTCGCACAGTCACGGTCCCGTGTCGATTGTGCATTCTCCTCGGCGTAGCGCTGAACAACATTGTGAATCTGCACTGGCTCGAGGATCTGGCTTGCCGAGCTCCCTTTTCTTGACGCTCCCAGCCTGCGTTGATCGGAGTTTGCGCTGTCAATTCTGACTTGTGCAAGCTGATAGGCTGGGGTTCGGAAGCGAACAAGTTAGCCACACCATCGCTGAAGTGGAGTGTGTTTGCTCAGAGCTGCAACAACAGCCTCCGCGAGATTGTCGACGCCCTTATTGGAGCCAGCGACAAGCAGGACCTTCAAATTCAATGCCATGAGCAAGAGGATGATGACCACAGCAGTTCTTGTTTTTCCTGTTCCAGGTGGCCCTTGGATCAGGTTGACACCGCAGGTGATCTCAAAGGTTGACTTTAAGAAAGCCCGATGCTGAGGCTCATCCAGGGGGAAATTTTCCAGGATATAAGATATTCTCTGGTCTTGCTGCTCTGAAAGAATCTTTGACATCTTGCGGGCGTCCAGAAGAAAGTAGAAGTCGCTGATAGGGTCCAATTCAACTCCGTGGGCGAGTACTGTTCTTTTCAGCGAAAATCCCTCCCTTTCTTTGCCTTCCAGCTCTTCCCAGGATCTGCATAAGCTCACTTCCCCACAGCTGATTCCGACCCTTCAGCCCCATCGACAGTCAGATTCTTGTTGGGCAAATATTGTGCCCTCCACGGACCATCGTCCATATGGCCGGAGCAACCTTTGAGGGAGTTACTAGTCCGGTCTCGACACTCTCTCCCGCGAGTTGAGCCGGGATAGAACACCCGCGTGTGACGCATATGTGTGAGATGTGACTGCCAGTTGGGACATCGGTCCTGTGGCGGCCGGTATAGGTGAGATGTGGATTAGGAACGCAGTCCGCGAACTGCGGCCGGTCTCACGCAATCTATCGTTGGACTTTATCCATATCCGCCACCTCGTTTCAGGGAGCATGTCCGTCTTTCCTGGGAGTTTGTCCCTACCTGACCATAGCCATCGTTGTTTGTAGATCCCTGAAATAAACAGCATATGGTGTACGAATCCACCTCTGCATTTCGGTGTGTGTCATCCACTATGTCTTCGTACCTGACAATGTGCAATTGGGTGACCGAGGCAGGCTCTGACCAGTCCCCTCCTTCTTGTTTTGATCCTGTCTTGTTTCCCGTGGGATTAATTCCCATTTTTCGATAACGACTTCACTTCTTGTTTGGTGAACAAAAATGGTTAGAGCTGTTTTCACGTCACCACCTGCTTCCAACAGCCACCAGCGAGCGTCATCCGCGAGCTTCTGGTCCTTGTATGGACTAATGATTATGACATCCTTGGGCCCGATTTTTTTCTCCTAGGCCCGTCGTCTCGAACTGGTACGGCTGAGACAGGAGACGGCACAGAACGTCCACCTGTGGCCCATTGTACGAGGCCAGGCTGTTCTGGTGGCGATCAGCATATTCGATCGTACTTAGGAACAGACGGTGAAGCCCTGCAACACCGAGTCTTCGAAGTAATGCTGAGAACTGGTAAGACATCCCTCGCGTTGCCTACACGGTCCGGAACGTTGTTTGAGGTTCCAACTTGCAAATCGCCACCATATATGTGCTGGTTCCACAAACCGAAAATTTCGCTGTGATTTTGATAGTTCGTGGTAAGCATCGTGTATGGATATCCCGCTTTCTGGATCCAGTTATAAGGCTCACCAAAGATACGAAGAGACCATCGATCTTTCCCTTAATTCTTGCAGGCTGAATTCCGCCTGGTAGAGCAGAGACTGTGTGGCTGCAGTGGAAAGGTGCACCATAACTGGATACATAGATGGTCAACTTGAAGATTGACCACCGTGTCATGTGTTGTGCTTTGAAGGGCGATGAAAGCGCAGCAAAGCAAGGCCACGAAGTTGGCTGAAGCTTGCTCGCAAGAATAAATGCAGTGCGCGAGTACAGGATGTTAAAGGCGCCAGCGATTGCTGAGTATCTGTCTTAGGATATTCTGGACCCAGGCAGCCTCTTGATAGACCGTTTGCCGCGCCCCAACGAACCAGTTGTAGGAGGAAGATGTCGACTCTGCGTTTCCCCTCGGCGAAGCGCTGGACGACTCGATGAACCTACGCTGTCAGTCGCGGTTATCAATGAAGAATGCATTATGAGGATACAGCTCGATATCTCACCTCTTCAGGGGTTCTGCTCTTTTGTGAAGAGCCATTCCATTGGTGGACTGCGGCCCTTTCCGTGCTTAGGGGGATTCCCTCGAAATTACCAGAATACTTTTCAAGTGCATTCCCAGCAATATTTTACACAGAGGTCACCCAGCACTGTCAGCCATTGAATCGTGTCTCGCACAGCTTTGAATTTCGGGTTGAATTTCTGGAAAATGAAAGGTCTTCTTCTTTTCCTGCCATCCAGTTGAAGCTCTTCAGTTTGTTCCAGTCAGTGTTGTTGCAATACCATGATGCCGCTGTTCTCACGATTACGGGATTGGGCAAAGGGTTAGGACACCCAGCCTTGGATGATGAGGTTGACATCAAAGCTTACCAAGAAGTATATAAAGTTGGAATGTCCATCGATTTGAGAGTTTCGAGTATTCACGGCTCCGGGCCCGGGGAAAGAGACTGCCATCGTCTGCGAGGAATCTGGTCAGCATGAGACCTTCTATTGCGGGTCCTTCATGAGAACTCTGATGCTCAGAACGAACAGATACTGGTGGCATCTTCTTACCTGTACTGTACCTGATGGCATCCTGTTCCTGAGATCCGGGAAGGGCAACTCCGTTTGCCTAAGGACAATTCACGGACGTATTCCAGAGAATGTCTATATGGTCCCGACTGAGCAATGATGCCGAGCAAGCAAAAGAAGTGAGTAAGACCTCTTCAGTCTATTGCTGGACTTTAACCATATCAACTATGCAAAGGCAGTTGGAAGAGTGGACCGATTTTGAGAGAAATGACGCGGCTTTATAGACGCCATGGTCTCGCTAAGGAGAAGCTGAGAAGAAAGATTGCCATGGTGAAGAGACCTCAGCATCATGATCAAGTGAATACAGTATTAATTCCAAGCACTGAAAGCTGTGCATATCACTGGCAAGATATTGGAACCGTTATACTGATTGCTATCGAGATTCACTATGAAAGTACTTACTGAGTTGTGAAGGCATAGAGATAAGAAATGATAAGAGAAAGAGAGAACTAGATCACAAGACGAAAGTCGTACAAGTGAGATGATAAGTGAGAGCTTAGCCCGTCCTTTAGGCATAAAGAAATCCTTCCTTTATTTTACATGCCTTTGAGCCTGGTTCTTAGGTGCATGGAGAACTAAAACGAGTGTTACGCTATGATGCAGATTGTATGTAATAACTATTAGGGCACCTGCGGTCCTCTGTTCCCTAATTAGGAAGCTATGAAGCTATTCAGAGCAACATGAACAACATGTCTCAACAAGCTGCTCGCATTGACCCAGATAACCCAATATCAATCAGCGTCGTATCTTCGCAGTATCGGGATGTCTTCCGAGAGTCCTCTTTCGATTCCTCGAGAGTAACAGGCTTTTGGTCACTATATCGTACCGCGAAGTGGTTTCTGAGGAATTCGCAAGCTCAGTCATACCAGCTTTTGCTAGAAAATTTGCCCTCGCCTCATGTGAGGAGTATGTAGTCAGCCATCACTCAAGAATAAATGGTGTGTCCAGTGTTCAGCATATAGTCATTTGGAAATCACCAGCCCATTTGGCACGTTCGATTCCCGATGCCTGGTCTCATTGATCAGGGATCGGAACATTCTCCCACCACAACAGTAGACATATGCAAGGCCACATTCCTCATATTCTTCGTTGCAGCGATTACCAGCAAAAAGGCTGACTATAATCGCTAGCTCTACCTCAATGGTACTACGCATCTGATGCATTGATTCTACTATTTGCTTTAGATAGCATTGCGCTCTATTTTAGCTAGTTGCCCCCAAGTTCTCGTGGTACATAGCATCGAAGACATGGCCGAGCATTATGCTCATTCTGACTTCTCGCAGTTGTTTTCTGAAGATATCTAGCCCCGTATAACAGTTACTTCGCAGGAAGGGCTACCGAGAGACATCTTTGATATAATGCTCTACTTCATAGAATGCTCCAGTATAGAAGGATATTGACAGTGAATGAAAGGCCATCTAGTCTCTGAGCTGTTGTTCCCAGCTGTGAATGTATTAGCAGGGCTTAATCTAGTCTTTGCCCTAGGGGTTGAAGGTGCTTTTCTTCTCCCTGCACTCGCACACACAACTGATTTTCTTCTCAACACACTCCCCTCATCTTCCATCAAATCTCTCCATTTTCATCCTTTCCTATTACTTCTCCAGCCCGAGTTCGTTCTTCATCAACCTTGACTTCTTCATCTAATTTCGCTTCTTTCATAACGCTTCTTATCGTCTAAATCCTTTCTCCGAGCCTGGTCCCTTATAATACAATCTTTCCAGCGTTTTCAAAATGAGCTAGATTGGTCTGGCTTACCTTCCTCGCCTCGATACAACATACGAGATGAGCCCTTTTGTTTGTTTTTAGAGTACACTACGGAGTTCGGAAAAGGACATTCTCTATTTTACATTATCTGGGTATTCTGCAATTGCTGATCTTAATTTTTCTCCAGATGAAGACACCCAGTATGCGTAGAGCGTCTGGTCGCTTCATACCGCTCCGCGCTCTTCGAGCATCTTATTTTCCCCTGCCCTGTCTCGGTCTTCCTACGCTTTCCAGTTCTCTTATATATAAGTTGATTTCTCCAAGTTGCGCCATCTCTCTTAGAGGGTTTGGTGTTCCCATTCCTTGCGCCATCTCTCTTAGAGGATTTGGTTTTCTCTTCCTTGTGACATCTCTCTTAGAGGGTTTGGTTTTGATTGTTGCCAGCTCTTGTAGAGGGTCTGGTTTTCTCTTCCTTGTGCCATCTCTTTTATATATATTGGTTTCTCCAAGTTGCATCATCTCTTTTATATATACTATTTTCTCCAAGTTGCATCATCTCTTTTATATATATTATTCTCTCCAAGCTGCGTCGTCTCTTTATATATACTATTTTCTCCAAGATGCACCATCTCTCTTATATATATATTAGTTTCTCAAAATTACGCCAGCCCTCAAAGAGGCCTCCTATGGGTCCGCATTTTTCGAGTGACTTGTTTTTCCTTTTTTAATACCCATGTCAGCTCTTTAAGAGTGTCTGGTTTTCTTGTCAGCCTTTTTTTATATGTCGGCTCCTTTATGTCTGTTTTAAATTTCTGTTACTATCTAGAACCTTATTCTCGCCATGAGAGAGTCTATTCGGCGTGCGCAGAATGGCCTGCCTTCTTAATAGAACCAGCCTTCTCATAGCGTCAAGTTAATTGATACTTGTATTTCCGCCAGTTTTTTAGAGTAATCTATTCTCCTCAAGTACAGGCAATTTACTGAAAAAGATAGCGGACAGCAATTCCCATGAAATTCAACACTCTTAGGTTGAGTCGCAACCCACCGTATCCAGTATTTACAGCAAGGTCAAGCTAAAATTGCCCTTGTGAAATTATCAGAAGTGTATCCTCTGGTACACGCAGTCTACCTTACCGACGAGCTACAATGATATATGAGTAAACTTTGCCTTTTTCGAAGAAAGTGTAGTACTATGAATGGTTTCAATTACGCTTGTAATCAGACCTTACACTATACTTGAGATATGTATTCTAGCATGAAGCTACAGTGCAAATGAATTCAAGAAGAAACCAATAGGAGAAATACTGAAATCACACTTGAGTTAAGCTAAGGGCTTTCCCCAGGAGGATTCTATACCACTGCACGGAGTACGCAAGAAGCCTTAGAAAGATATCATCTGAAGATGTTGGATCCATGTGGAGCATGCAACTATGGTGATTCCTTGGCAACGGCGTCCAGGTTAGTCTTATCCTTGAATTTGATAGGTTTTAAATAGGTCCTGGGCCACCCACCGTTCCCAGTCTAAACCTTATGATCACAACAATCCATCCTCTGTAGTTACTTAGGATTTACTACTCACATAATACGATGATAAGATACTTCTACCTCTAACTTTTCCCAGTATTACTAGCAACAACCATAGTGCATCTTAAGTTCTATTTATTGTACTCAAAAACTACATGTGGCTTGACAAAATGTCAAAGTACTAGTTAAGGTAGATAAATTTGGTAGGAACCTGACCTACTGGCAGGATAATAACTTTGAAGGAATTCCGTCCATCAGTCCTCACATAATATGGGCTCAAAAGAAATATTGGCACTTGCTCAGTCCATATAGGTGAGCTTATTGATTACAAGTTAGTTTAAACGAGCTGAACTTTATCCAGGCCGTCATTCATAGACCAAATAACTCAGAAGTTATGATTTGTTTGGCTGAGCACCTATGGTGGTCTCCGGCAGCCAGTGATCAGAATGCTGCAATACCAGAACTACCGCCACTGTATACTCCTCAAAGAGCCTCATTTATTGATTAAAGCGGAGCATATCATGGTCTGCTGTCAAGGTGAAAGGCGCCTACGGTGAGAAATAAAACGAAGCATTTGCATTGCTGAGTATTAGACCACTGTAATTATGGAAGGTACCCTTAGACTCACGAGTACGTCGCCGGACGCCTTTTAGCCTAGTGGTATTAGATTTCCGTATTCACACTCTCTGCGATCGTCTGTTGATAAGGAGTCCAATGAGCCCTTCAGTATCTGCCACAAGAACTGCCTCCATTCGTCTCTCATGCTTCGTTACTGTATCTCATGTTAACATCTATGGTCAGGCAGAGTACCAGGTGTCCCTGACGCGGATGTGCTTCGCATCGAAGATGTCGAAGGGACCAAAGCAATGCAATGCCAGAAAGCCACTCTCCTCAAGAGTCATTGACCCGGGACCGTTCTCATCCAGGTAATCCTTTCAACCTTTGTCAGGCTATGCGAATGTAACGTCGACCACTTGTCGATGCTAGCTTATCAAGATCTACTTAGCCTCTTTTTAGGAACTGAGAGTTTTTATCTCACAACCGCTTGCGCCAGCACTTATGGAGACACTTCTTTTTCTTATCGGATCGCTTGGCCCGATCCATGCTACCATCTCGATTCCCGTTTGCACCAGGTTTTCCATCGTTCTTCCACAGTTTCACAAGATGAACGATTTTATTTCAACAATGGCGAAGTTCTGACCGTCCCTCGGCGCCTCTCATCTGGACAAGCGGCCATCCGTCTTTGCTACAATCCTAGCATTTCCCATCGTGACGGTCACATTTTGTCTATCCGGATCCCAACGCAGCCTCCTTGCTTTCTTGCAGTAATGGCTCAACACGTCGAGGAAATTACAAGAGCCATATTCGTAATTTCCTCGTCACTTCTTCCGGCGAACACGTGTTTCGCTGAGTCAGGATGCGCCGCAGAGACGTTGGATAGTCCGCCAACTGTGGTATAAATAGTTTGACTCCGCGCCTCGTGCGCAGATTCAGGACCGTCCATAGGGTCGCTGCTCTGCGTACGGGCACTCCGGCCATGTTCGACATGACCCCAAGCAGGCGAAACACGTTGCGGTGAGAGACCGCATGAGATGAATGGCTTCATTTTCCTCCAAATAGGAGGTGATTGCCTCAAGTTCGGCGATAAACCCTTCCACCCCCTCCGAGTCCCGCGCTGCAGGCGCCGTCGCGGCCCACACGGCGGCCCGACGGCGGACCCGGAGGCACTTCTTCTTTAACCGTTGGCATCTCTTGCACTTCCGGTATCCTGCGTCGCGGACGCAGGCGCACGCCTGCCCGGTCAATCTCGAAGATAGCCCTGTCTGTCTGGCCACGGTATTGCGGAATCATCCGGGAGACATTCAAGATTGTAAGCGTCCCTCCCTGATCGCTGAGAATGATTGAATTCGGGATAATGTTCCCCACTAGACTAGGGACATGGCCTTCAGCGACATGGGTTCTGCGCGGAGTCTGGCGGGTAGAAGCTTGAACACCATTCTGACGTCGAAGCTGGTAGTTCAGGTTAGCGGGTATATACTGACACACTTTGAATGCCACTTACTCGCTCCGCCTGGAAGTCTGAATCCTCGGTGTAGTCATGGGCCTGTTCGGCAAGGATACAGAACCCTGCAAAACACTGCCGGACAGACAAATTGGTGTCCAGGGCTCGAATAGGTCGAGAGACGTGGAAGGCAAAATCGGCTGTTCGCTTGACGCACATGGTCCCCTGGTAAGTGGACAGAAAGCCGTAGCGCAACCCAAAATTCCTCATCTGTGCCAGAAGCTGCCCTGTGGAGATGTCAGTGACAGTAGTATGGCGCTGGGGGCGAGCTACACATACCAAGATGGGGTGCAAGCCGCACACGAGACCGAATGTTGGAAACAGACAACACAGTAAGTTGAAGGGTCCAGAAGGTTTTAAATTCCATGGAGCGCATCCTTGAGGCAGCGCTGGCAGGGCGCGGCAGGGACCGCGGAAACGCCTGCCCGCAGGCGCTTCCGGGTGCCGGCAGCAGCAACAATGGGTCCGCTTGACAGGCATGGTGATTTCTATCTGGCTTAGCAACGTCTCTACGTCGTTTCGCCTGCGAGAACCTACCTTGATGGAAAATGTGTACGTCGAAATGGAAGATATGAAAGCGTCGGCCATAGTTTTGACCGCTGATGAGTTTTCTACCGTTGCCGTTTGAGGTCCGTCTTTCTTTGACTTTGCTCTTGTCCTTGACAACATATTACCCTTAAGGGGATCCGTCGGTGTTTCGTTTCTGATGTGGAGCTAAAACGATCGGGTTGAGGAAAACTTGCCGACGTCTATTTTCCTGTCATTGTCCGCGGCCGCGTTCTTCTTAATATCACGTAGATATGCCTTCCATTGCTTATGGTCTTTCAAAGCTTCGTTTGTATCCTTATCGGCTTTCTCAAATTCGACATTTTTTGAGCTATGGGAAGTCGCAAGCGAGGAGTGTCCTCAAATAGTATAGAGTCCGGAATCGAGACCAAGTCGAAGTGTGCTATCAATCTATGCCACCAGTAAGCTGTCTGTACGGGAAATGCCATACGACTGTCAAAGTGTCCAACCAATGGATTTGGGGGCACTTACCTGGGCTTTGAGTGTACCAAGAGTGTACCAGGGAACCAACAGCATCAAAGTTGACGCGAGGTGCAGATGCTACTGGGAAACCTGCCACTCTAAGAGCGTTTGACTGTGTCAAAATGGCATAGAGTAAGGTTGTGATGAGCGACGAAAGGTAGAGAAACGGACACTCGATGAAAGCGAATGGAGGTGGTTTTGCAAGTCATTTGAAGGGAATCCCCGAGACTGCATACACGAAGCAGTCACCAAGAGCGCCTTCCATTTTGGGAGTGTACTGCAGACCTCTATTCTGGGCAGGAGGTAGAACCATTATATGCTTTACAGCAGAAAGAGGAAGGTCCGACCACTCCAATTCCGGTGAATGGCATCAGTTTTTGCCATAGAGTAACTCATTGTAGGCCTCAAGCATCACTGAGAATTAGATGATTTATTCACTGTCTCATCATGTAATAGTCATTTCAGGGACAGCAAACATTTATATAATCTGTTATTCATTCCTTGAATGAGGCCAACTTCCGCAGTGCCGTCCAGCCCAAGGTTTCTGCCAAGTGCGTTCTGAAGCCCAGTGATACTTCTCGTTTTAAGGGAAACGATTGTGTGGCCGTACTTGACATAGTTTTGGAAGCTGATACATCCCGTGGTCTCAGTTGTTCTCCTCAAGATGATGTGATCTGTTGTTACGGGTTCAGTGATGCTGCCCGGGATCAATCATAGTCATACCAAAGTGGCCTCAGGCTAATCTCACAAAACTACGCTTTACTGGCTGCGAAAACACATGTATCTTCAAAGACTATGCTCAATACTTGTGATCATTGAGATCTATCATCAGTTCTTGATGTTGAAGCTGGTTCCGTGTCACCCATAAACCCTGGCAAGCTTTCAGCCCTAATTTAAGCTTGAGGTATGGACTTGCAGTCATATGAAAAGCTCATATTCTGTTCGAAAAGTATACATTCTTTTGAAAGTAGTAGTTCCTCAGCAATTCTCCAATAAGGAGCTGGGATTGATCGGTTGTAAATATTGACATAGATGCCAGAGTTGTTGCCTACAAGTGTTAATAGATTATATGTTCAAATGCAGATGGTTGTTGCACCTCACTGGCTAACAGAACAAAGCAAAACATCGATTATTAATCAGTACTACTGTATACGAAAGGACATAAGCTACTACATACTTTAAATTCTGACAGGAATCCGCAGTACCTCAATAGTATCTAAAGTATAGTGGGTCACTGGAAGGGCGTCTCGTATCGAGTGAGTCACCCCACCACTGGTAACTACCACGGTAGGATAAATTATCTTGTCATCTTCTCTTTTCCCGATCTCAGTTCCCTTCTGACATTTCAGATAATTTTACCTAGATCAGAAGCAGAAGTCAAGAATGGCGGTAAACCAAGAACAAGCAGACTATCACCTCATTGGGCTCTTCACCCGATATTCAAGTACGTACGCCATCACGCGTCTCCAGCGGTACAGCCAATTGCTAAGCTTATTATCTCAGGCTGGACTGCTCGCGTTGAAATAGTGTTGGAGTATTTCCAAATTCCATATACAGAGCAACAAATAAATTTTGACGATGTCTGTGGTCCCGTTCCTTCAAACATCCAAAACACTAACCGAAACCAGGTCCGCAAATTCTCCCCCTCAGGGCTCGTCCCCCTGCTCGAATGCCGTTCTTTGAGCTCAACCCTACGCATCAATGACTCAATCGCCATCTGCGAGTTTCTCGCAGAGTCAAACCCTCATCTTGCCCTGTGGCCACAGGACCGCCTCCTCAGAGCCATGGCGCGCAGTGCAGCGGCCGAAATGCACTCTGGTTTCACGGCGCTGCGAAACGCATGCCCCACGAACTTCGTAGTGCGGTATACGGGCAATATCCCCGTGCCTGAGGCTGCGAAGAAAGATATCCAGCGTCTATTTACGATCTGGGATAATGCGCGACAGGCAGCAAAGTCACGGCTGGCTGAGCTGGGTAAGAAGGATGAGGGGTTTCTGTTTGGTGGGTTTAGTATTGCCGATGCATTCTTCTGGCCAGTGCTCTGGGTATGTGTCAACTTTGCTTGTTTATTCTTGTTGTTTGGAACCAGGGGCTAAATTGTGGCTCAAACAGCGCTTCCGCACGTACAATCTCCCTCTCGAGGGCGCTAGCGCTGATGTGGTGAAGTGGATGGAGACAATGTGGAATGATCCGGCGACGCAGAAGTTAGCGCACAAGTATTATCGTCAGGCGGAGCTACCGGAGACCCATATGGAGCGGTATGAGAATATCTTTCGTGATCGTGAAGATATTCAGTATGGAAGGTTTCCGGAGGATTGGAAGTTTACTGTCCCGGGAAGCTCGTGACGGCCAACCAATTCTCTTGTTTTGAATACAGGATCGGTCTGGCCGATCCAGAATCGTTCGTCATAACACAAGAGTTATATAAATAGGTTCCTGCTCATCTACCACCCTGAGGCAGCAGGACATTCTTGAATATGGTATAGTTGGATTCCCCCTTCGTATCCAGCACCGCAAAGACAATCTCTTCAAACACTCCATCCCACTCCGTCTCCTGCAAAACCTCCTTGTAAATCCTGGCAACCTCATACGGCGGATTTCTGAACGCCCCACAGCCCATCGCCCCAAGCACACAGTGCGAGATTCCATTCTCAGCAAGAACCCGGAAGACCTGGCGCATCTTGTTCTTCACAACCAACCCATCATTCGAATTGGCTGAAACACAAAGTTAGCCTCATCCCCTTTCAACATGCATACCGAATAACATACCAAAATGCCTCCCATCAGCCGTCAACGCCGGCCTCCTCAACGCCGCCAAACTCACCACCCCAACAAGATACTTCTCCTCGTCCCGGTACAGCCGACACCCACTCGCAACCTCATCGCGGAAGACCACCACAGCAGGCGACCACACAGCCCCATACACCGGCAGCGGGTAGTACTTCCGGTCAAGCGTCGCCGCCAAGGTACTCCGCAGACAGAGCGCCTCCTCCTGCGCCAGCGCCCCGTTCAACCACCCTCCGCCGGGATTCCGCTCGCTCGCCATATTGAGAACACCCACTCTGGCTCTGCCGGCGGTGCGCTGCAGGATGTCCCGCGCAGCGGTGAAGCTGTCCTGGCCTGTGACGCTGAGCTGGGGTTTCTGGGTTGCGCTGTTGGAGATGGGTTTGATAGGTGGGAGGAGGTGAGGGTGGGCGCGGGAGGCCTGCGAGGCGCCTGTTGTTGCTTTGATGACGTACTCGGTTAGTGAGAGAGTTTCGGCGGCGAGGCGCTGGCGTTGCGCGTTGTTGGGTGGTTTCGGGATAGACATTTTGCGCGGGAGACTTCTGTGTGGTTGTTTGCTGGCGGTCTGGTTGCGTAAATTGTGGTCTTATAATTCTTATTGTATTGATGTGAAGACTTATGTGACTTGGATCAGCAGCGAGAGAAATTACTCCAATGCACTGTTGTGGCGGTGCTGATCTGCTAACAGGCAGCTCAGGCTTCCAGAAATACGAGGTGTCGAGACTCATGAGTCAGGAGTGTGCAACTTGCCTCCGCAAGGCTGTGTGCGCCTCGTGTTGCGCTGATCCGACGTGGAACTGTCAAACCAACCGAGGCCGAGCTAACTGAACCATTAAATGCGTCCTGCGATGTCTGCGCCGTCTGTTAAGTGAGAGCTGGGGTTTGCTGCTCTATGGACGCCTCTAATCTTGGCCGCAAGAGTGCGGTTGCCTATATTGGAACTTGCTAGGGCTCAGCTCAGCCCCCGGAGGCAAAATGTTCTAGTCGAGTTCATATTAGATCTCCATATACTGTCAAAAATACATCAATCATGACTGAGGCAGTAAATGACAGAGACCTCTTGGCGAAAGAAAACCCCACGAGCAGGAAAAATTGGTAAATGACCTCGAATATTGCAGCTTCGCTGTACATTATGAGGCAGCTGTACACTGCTGAAAGGGCTAACAAATTTCAACAGATGGCAAGTATAAGATAAGAATGACAAACGCCATGAATTGCTGCAGCTCGACAGTCCTACGCCAGAAACATGCGCCTCAAATCATCTGAACTGAAAAGAAACCGAACCCTTCATTAAAAGTCATAACCCAAGGCGCCGTATCTACTCGTGCGACATGCAATGCCGAGTCATAGAGAAAAGGTGAAAGAGAAACTATGTCGTGTGGACCGTGTACCGGGGCTCGAGGGGATGAGTCGATTCCTAGCAAGTCACAAGGTTGATGTGGTTATCATTAAGCGCAGCGCAGGCAAGAATGGTACGATGTGGGTGGAAGGCAGTGCTGGCAATTGGGGAAGAGCGGTTGTGGTGCAGGAAGCTTGAGTATGGTTCGAACGTGGACAGATATGTTCCATCCATGTTGAATGTCTTGACCTCATGGCGATTCGTGCCCCTTTTATTCAATCAGTCAGTTACAGGACTGGAGAGCATCCAGAAGCAAAGGAGAATCACATACACCATGAATACGGGAGCGTGCTCGTGAACACTCAATGTCCTGAGGGTATCTTTGGTGGCATAGATTGTTGAGATAGGGTCTTCCATGCGAAGATCCCACAATCTGATCTCGCCATTTCGACTGCCGGACACCAGCTCCCTCAATCCACCTCGTTGCATGTGGACATTGGTGATCCATTGCTTGTGCTCACGCCAAACTTTCACCATCGAGGTCGTAGGCTTTAGACGCTGATCAAACACGCGGACTGCACCATCGCCGAATCCGGCCACGAAGACGTTCCCTGCCACCTGGTCGGACGTAAGGGAGGTAATGCAAGACCCTGAGCGTGCAGGGATGTCCTGTCAACACCTGCGTCAGTAGTCACCCAGCAAGGCAGAGGTTAAGAGGAGCATACGTTGGTGCAGACTTCAGTGGCCGCGTTCCACACACGGATCACCTTCACATCTCCAGCAACCAGTGCTTTGCCTTGGCCTTGCTGCCAATCGAAAACCAGACCAGCATTTCTATTGCTTGGAATTAGTTCCGGCAAAGCGCGGAAAGCTGTCACTATCTCCACCTCCTTCGGAGACTCGTAATTTCTGAATACTTTGAGTACCCCGTCGGAGGATCCGGTCATCAGCAACGCTTGATCGTCCTCGTTGATATAACGGATTTCGTTGATCCTCGAGCCCGGCGGGTTCCCGTTGGAAAACCTATTAAGACGCTTGTGTCTCTGCCAGTCCCAGATTCTGACAGATAAATAAGATTAGCATCAAGACACTACTTTGCGCCAGTCTCACTTACGCGATCGTGTCCCGGTCATCCGCAACTGCGAGGTGATCCTCAAATTGATGGAAACACATCTTCAGGGGCTGACTGGTATTAGTAAGCAAGGCCAAAGAGTTATCCCAGCGACTGCTGCCTGCTTTTCCCTTGAGGGGCTGGGTTTCCGTGATGATCTTCTCGTTGCGGCTACGTCTCCAGAGACGCTCGTTGTAGTCGGCGCTACCGGGTTCGTCGGGCTCATTGGGCTTCATCTGGGGTTCACGGAAATACTGAAGATGGGTAAGAAAATGTCCATAGATGCGGGTGTACTGTTCGCAAATCAAATGGAGAAGGCTTGGGGTTACCTCTGTGGACCAATCAAGAAACCGACTCATAAGGGGTATCACGGGGGCTAGAGATGGGTCTCTGGGTTCGAAACCGCGCGAGGTAGGAATTGGAGCCTGGTGATAAGTTGCCGCGGGAGCGACCTGGTCGTTGACTTCCGGAGGCCGCGTCCATTCGGGGGGAGCACGTCCTCGAGGGGTGACGGGCATGCGGCTCTTTGTGGGCGATGTTACGCTCTGCGATGATTGTTGCTCGATCTGGGAGGGTCCACCGAAAGCAAGATTCTTGAGTGAAGCGGCCACACTGGCTGTTCTTTTGATGCTCAATGACAAGTATCCTTCCTGTTTGGGAGCAGCCGTCTGCGAAGGAGGAGCTGGTGGAGGCGCGGCCCTTTTCGATTCCGCTCTTTCGCGAACTTGTAATTTCTGTGACAACCGGCTAGTGAGTTCCATGATTTCCTTTCGGACCTTGTCAGTAAGCGACGCCATGGGAGACGCTAGAAGGGTGAGGTGGATGTAGTCAATGATCATGCTAGCGTCTTGCGCAATATCAGGATGTGGGTCAACAGAGAGTATAAGAAGTTGTTTCCAGATCGTGCCGAACGTGGTATTCTGCGACAATTTCTGTGATTTGTTACTTGAGTTGGCGGCTCCATTCTGCACATCTTCCAGCGTGAAGCCTCGAGAGCCGTCGTGCTCTAACCGAAGGAGAAGGGTTTGCTTCTCGTCCTGGAACTCTTCATATGCGGCGACCAGGAATTTGTTCTGGTAGCGTTTGACAAAGGTCGAGAAGAAGACAAGAAGCTCCTTTCTCACGAGGACACTACCGTCTGATGCCATGGGCAGCACAGCCAAAGCCAGGGATTCTTCAATCTGCGCCACCTGATCGGTCAAATCAGGGATGCCCAAGAATGTGGTCGCTGCATGGAGCATTGCTGCCCTGACCTCCGGGACGGGGTCGAAATTCAGCTCACAGAGTCTTGCGGGTGCCGCACACCGGATTCCCATCCACTTGGCCTCGGGGAAGTCGGACCAGAGCATGCTGATGCAGAGACATGACCATTGTCGAAGTAAAGGATTTTCGACATCAGTCAAATGCTTCAGACAAGAGTCAAAAAGCTCGCCAGAAAGGCACACATTCTGGCCCTGAGGATAGTTCTTACAGAATATCGAAACAATGAAAGCACACATTGCTCGGTGCTCACTCGCGTTCCCCACAGGAATGGGTGACGAAGGGTTAAGGATAGAGATGAAATAATGGATCCCATTGTCCTTCAACAGATCGTTCTGGACGGTGTGATCCACTGCCATAATCCGCGCCCAAATGAACACCATGACGGGTTTTAGCTCTTGGGCTGCTGACTGTAGCAGTTTGACGACATATGGGAAGATACCGATGCTCAAAGCGAGATGAACAGCCCACGGTCCCAAGTCGAGAAACTTACTCAAGAGGATGAGGGCCCTTAGTCGATGTGCCTGGCTAAGTAGAACTTGCAGAACGATAGGGAGTTGATCCGGCGGGTTCCTCTCGGTTGGGCCGGATGAGAGGTAGACCTCAAAAGCAGTGAGTTGCTCCGCGAAAAAGGTGGAATGTTGGTACTCGTATTGTCTGCGGCCTTCTTCATGGTCAATGAGAGCTGGTAGCTGAGATAGCACCATCTCAACAGCAAGATCCCAGCTTTTCCAAAGCGGATGATGATGAGTCTCTGGGAGTTCGGGTGAGGATATCGGATGACACTTGTACGTGCGCATGATGCGCTCGCTGAGAAGAAAATTCCTGAAAAGCGCAGCCACCATCAAATCTTGCCGGAAAAGCTTCTTGAACAATGCTCGTGGCAATGTGTTCCATGCAATGGTGTCAGTGATTGCGGTGAAGATCCAGTTCAACTCGCCGAGTGGGCTTCTGCGGTCCTGCAAACGACCAGGGACTCTGAATTCGTCGATTGAGAGATTCGTCTGGAGGGGATTCTGGAGAATGAAGTAGCGCAGCGCTATTTCTATGGGTGTGGTTAGGCAGCAGGTGAAAAGATCTGCGGGAAGATCGGGATTGGTAGGCAGTGACTCGTTCTTCTGACAAGCTGCCAGAAGGATGCAATCCCCGTAGTTCTGAACGACGGCGTTCGGGTCACGCTTTTTGGCTTCAAGGTTCTCCTTTTCGTGCTTCTCCACAAAAGTGTGGAAATTCTGCACGATGTTCCCGGCGTGGGAAACATCAAAAACGAAGAGACTGGGACCAGCGAGCCAGGATTGCAAATCATACAAACTAACTGGAATGTACTGGGTATAGTTCTTGTTAAACACCCAGATTTCTCCCGATTGTGTAGGCAACGGAACACCGTGACCGTTGTAGTGAAAGAGAACTCTCTCGTCCTTAGCGTTACGGCGCAGGGAAATGCAGAACTTTTTCGTCTCATCAACTGAAGGGTCAAGATACTGTTTGTATCTAGTTCTTAGGCTGAGAGTTTCGTACTGCTCCTGCAGCTTCTTTCCAATCTGCTCCATTATCTTGTTCTGCCCACCGCCCGTGGTCGATGTAGGATCCACCCAGCATTCCAGCTTGGCTGATGGGTTCGTCTTCACCACGTCAGGAGGGTCGACACCGATGTTCAAGCAGATGGCGAGGGCAGCAGAAACTGTCTTCAAGCGATCCTTCATGCGCCAATCCTGACTGGGCCAGCTTCCAACTGGGTCTCTTGGGATGCCGTTCGTATCGTGCCGCTTCTCTGTGAAGTACATATAAAAGTTCTTGAAAGAGTCAGCCAATCATCCGGGCCCAACGACCCTGGTGAAGTCGCGCCGCGCCGACTGCTTACCGAGTGTAGAACCTTAAGGTACTCGCTCGAGGTGTACTCCTCCTGCCACCCATGTCGCATGGCAAAGTCTTCTTCCTCATCAGCAACAGCGGACTTGTCGAATCCCAGTCTCGGCCCATAGTCACTTCGAGCCCTTTTCAGAGCTGCTGTCGGTCTTCCGCTCGAGTCTGAAGCCCGATCTGACGTCAACCGAGGACTCGGCTCGAAGACTGCCGCATTATCTCCTGCCGATGAACTGGCTGGACGGTGAAGCGACGATATAGACGGTTGTGAAT